ATTTCATCATTTTTTTTATTATGTTATCTTTAGGTTTGGTCCCGCCCCTTATCTATTTTTTGCACATTATTCTCTCTATGTAAACCCAATTCCTGTCCTGATAAATGGTGACTCATGCATAGCATCATATGCGGTTATTAAAACAAGAAACATATTCATATTATAATAATTTACTGTATGCTTGGACTTAGAGATAGATGTCATTAGTCCCAGATCATGTAATAAAGTAGGTCTTATGAAAATACAATAGCATTTTAATGATGATTATATATATGTATATATATTTAACAATGCCATTTTTTTGGAAAAAAGGGTAGGGGCAAGGCGTTTTTAAAACATATTAATAGGGCGCGTTTGTTTGTTCTTCGGTAGTGAGCCAGAAGAAGTCCATTTCTGTTTTTTACATCGAGATGACCGTGAGGGTATTCCGATGTATTGCTATCGCCTAGATTTGCACACATAACTTTTGTTTTGGGTTTGTAACCGATCTATAAACATGATAAATACGCGGAAATTAACTAGTGCAAACTAACATTCCTTATCGTTTGTTATAAATACATCTCTTCAATGAATACTGATAAAAATATTTTTGTTTAGAACATAAATTAATAATATGAAAATGTTTTGTCGTTAGATATATATATATTATATATAAGTAAAAAATCATTAATAATATCTATGCACACGTACCTAAAAATTGTGTTAAAGCATGCGGAAGAATATCTCAAGAACGTTTTTGCGACAATCCCGACAAGGACCGGTAACTCTGTAATTGTTTTTACGGGAAAATATGAATGCCTACTCATATCCAATCTTTTAGAAAAATCGAATTTTTACAGAAGAGTGTCCACCATGCAATTGCACTGCACTATTATTAGAATAGTTGAATAGAATGATATACAAACGGATGAAAATTATATATACATGTAACTGTTATATTAATATAATATATAACAACAAACCAGTGTATACTGATTTGTATCACCACAATATAATAGTTATTACTGTGCGGTTGAATTTCATGTCATTTATTCATCAATAACGCACGAACTTGTTTCAGAAAAAAATATATCTCTGTACATTTACCTCAGTTTCAGGTATAGAGATGTGATCTTTTTCTGTGACAAGTGCTTTTGACCACCCACAAGAACTTGCAGTCATCCGATGTTCAGTACTTCAGTACTTTGATTTGCATTGGGAAGATGTTCTGGCTCTCTTCCACCTCTTCTTTTTTTATAGGTTGTTTAGACGGCAGAGGCACATAACAAACATGGCGTCGTTTAGTCTAAATGACGTTAATAAATTTATGAATCCTAATATCGTCTTACGAATATAGTCCCTAGTGTGGACAGTGTGTTACTTGCTAATTTTTTTTATACCCCTTCCAAATTTATTTCTCCATGTTTTATGACTCAAATAGCAAGTAGGGGGGTGAAATGACACTGTAAAAAAATTTGGGTCATGAATTTTAAAGTAAAGTAGTGATTTGGTCCAGCTGAAAAATGTTAAAAATTAGCACTTCGGAAGCTGTCGAAAGATTTGAAGACCCCCTTAACATAAAATTGTCCATATTTTGAGTTAGAGCCGATGAAGTTTTCTATAATTTTGATATAATTTGTCCCAAAAGTAGTACAACACACTGTAAAAATATTATTGAGAAAGCGCAGGTGGGATTTTTTTAATTTTCATTTATTGTCTAAAAGAAATGCACTACGAAATAACTGTGTAATCGGACCATATATTAGAATGTGACCTGTGTTATAAACGTTTTTATTATATACTAGTCTTAGTAGTAAAAACATATAAATTGTATGAGTAATACAATCATTGGCAAGCGTGCTGTATCAGCCACCCGTGATGATATCGATATCAGCACGGTTGCAAAGGCTTTATCACACCTTTATTATGTATGACGTCACGTCATCGATTGCAGTCACTGTTGCAGAGGCTTTATCAAACCCCTAATCTGTATGACGTCATGTCAAACCTATAATCTGTATGACGTCATTTCAAACCTCCTTACCTGTATGACGTCATGTCACATAAAAAACATCTACGTGAGGTATATGTATATAATAAAATGTATATGATATGGCTTTTTCAATATCACACACCATATCAACCCTCAACCAATATAATCCCTCGAGCAGAGCTCTTGGGATTATATTGGTGTCTCGGGTTGATACGGATGTGATATTGAAAAAGCCATATGATATTCTCTATTTATGGTATGCCAGCCTTAGTATGATATTCCTATAGGACGATAAGCTGGATAAATATAAGAACTACACGAACAATAACAGTTAAGGGACGATTATTTGATATTCTAGGGAAGGGATTTTGATTAATTGGTGTTTAACACTACTTTCAACACTACTGGGCTATTCCGTGGTGGTCAGTTTAATTTATAGATGAAGGATGGGGAAGGGAAGAGAGGGCATTATTATTAATTTTAATCTGTCGCTAATCATGCCTATTTTCAGCTCTTTTACCAGGCAACCATATTCATATATTAAATCCTTCTGTCCCCCACCCCAACAAATAAATAAATATCAAATGGTTTTCCTCTTATTTAACACAAGTTTAAATTGATTGATTGTTTATTGCTTTTTAACGCCCAGTGACAAATATTTCATGCTTGTTCAGGAAAACACGAGTTTAGAAGTCATGTATATAATATAAAAACGAAGAGATTGGATATGATTACTAATAAGGTAACTATCCACCGGATTTCAAATATGAAGTGGATGTAAGCAATTATAGACAATCATAAGGCCTTCAACAATGACAAAAACCTATTACTGTAAAGTCGTCTATAAAAGGCCCGACATGAAAAGTGTGAACAATTCAAACGAAAAACTAACGGCATAATTATACATAACAAAACAATTTACAAAATATCAAATATGAGTCGAGACATGAACCAACGACAACCACTAAACTACAGGCTCCTGACCTGGGACAGGCAAATATAGAAGATGGCAGGGTTAATATAAAAACGAAGATGTGGTATGATTGCAAATGAGACAACTCTCCAAATTACACAGAAATCAACAGCTATAAGTCACCGTACAGCCTTCGACAATAAGCAAAGCCTACACCGCATAGTCAGCTATAAAAGGCCCCGAAATCACAAATGTAAAACAATTCAAACAAGAAAACTAACGGCCGAATTAATGTACAATAAAATGAACGAAACACAAATATGTATAACACAGCAACAAACGGCAACCACTGAATTACAGGCTCCTGACTTGGGACAAGCACATACATACGGAATGTGGAGGGGTTAAACTTGTTAGCGGGGTCCCAATCCTCCCCCTAACCTGGGACAGTAGTGCAACAGTACAACAACATGTTTGTGAGCACTCAACCCATCCCGAAGCTTGGACAGTGGTGTAACAGTCCAATAAAAAAACAACCTGCACTTATCAGTTGCAATTAGATTAACTCAAAAGATCGGTACGAGACACACACAAAAAACTTACATTAAGACAATAGACACAAAGCACCGACATAAGAGTATTTGCAATTACTGGAAGTTTGCTCAAAGCTAATTACAACTAGTACTGAAATAAATCTTGTTCTCCCAGACTGAAGTATCAATCAGTACACAACGCGCGGCAAAGGATTTATTAAAAAAGAAAACAGTCTGAGAAACGTCTGGTTTACGTTGTATATAGATATAAGAAGATGTGGTATGAGTGCCAATGAGATAACTCTCCATCCAAGTCATAATTTGTAAACCATTATAGGTCAAAGTACGGTTTTCAACACGGAGCCTTGGCTCACACCGAACAGCAAGCTATAAAGCCCCCCCCCCAAAAAAAAAATGACTAGTGTAAAACCATTCAAACGGGAAAACCAACGGTGCCGTCTAATCTCTTTAAAAAACACGATATACTTGCATATAGATCTATATACAATGAAAGTTTTTGAAAAGTTGTGGTCCGAACGTTTTGACTATCGAAATTTTGCAATAGAAATAATAGTTAGGACCAGAAGATTTTAACAGCCAGTGCAGAACTCGCACGAACGCCAGATTTAGTTTGAGGGGCGATATTCTGACGCGTTTTTTAATTCTTGGTCACTCATGTTTAGAAAGAAAGGGGAGAAATCCAAACAATTACCGACCAATCCCAAACGTTGTTGCAAATTTGACCTTATGACGTCAAAGAATTTCCCATAATGCAATTATTGCATATAAATAAAAAACTTACTATACCAATTGAATAAAAAATATTGCATTTGAATGACAAATTATACCATTTGAATAAAAAATATTGCATTTAAATGAAAAAATATACCATTCAAATTAAAATATTGCATTTGAATTACAAATTATACCATTTGAATAAAAAATATTGCATTTAAATGAAAAAATATACCATTCAAATAAAAAATATTGCATTTGAATGAAGAAATATACCAATTAAATTAAAAATATAGCATTTAAATGAAAAATATCAAATTTTTGCAACCAATACCATGCCATACTACTGCTGCTTATCATTTATGGAAATTGTGCACTTGAACGACACACTGCGTCGGATTTTTAAAATGCTAGCACTCACGGTAACAGATCTTAGGAAGACATGTCACCCTTTATCAGACTCATTGCCGAACAATCTTTATTCTTATTTCTTGATGTTATGCGCTTAGCGAAGAAGAAGCAAATACCAATTTTACAGACTTTGGTATAGAACCTATGACGCCCGCTAGCTACCATAACACTGCAAGCGGTTGAAAATAATAAAATGAATTATAAAGTGACACGCAAACAATGTCATACTCGAAAAATTATCTATTTGTTCGGTAAGCCGCATTGGAATATTATACTGCTTGAATTGATACAAATATAATATATTTAGCCTTATTAAAATAATCCTTTGGTTAACGAAGGCTGAATATAGAATTAATGTATATAAAAAAACAACTGAATTCGTAAAAGCAAATACTGCTTGAACCCTATCTCGCTGTCATAAGCATAAAATCCGATATCGTTTAAAACCCATTCTTTGAAAAATTTATTAACAAAAAACAATCTGTTTAAGTTAGCACTTTAGCTAGGAGAAGAAGCCTGAATTGTTCTCCAATTTAGCATAGTATTCATTGTGTATATTGTTCGATTATTGTATATATTGTTTGTTATAGATGGATTAACCACTTGGCGTTGTTGGGCACAGTTTGTTCACCTTTGATGAGAGAAGCGCAACTTGGGTAAGAAGTGTAGTAACCATGTTTTGGACTTGTTTGACATCGTTTTGAGCTTTCTGAATATCTGCTTGTGTTTGAATTTTAATGGTATTGACGAGGCTTTGAATGTTGACGGTTCCACCAGAACCTCCGGTAGATGGTCCTTTCAGTCCGGAAAGGTCAGATTTCACTGCCAACAATTCTCCTGCTTGAGCGGTAATCTGAAAAATAATACAATGTTAACAGGTGAAAAATATTGTAAATTGTCAATTCAATAAAGCAAAAAATACATATTTCTGAAAATAGGTTATCAATACACGACTAAACATTTGATGATATTTTTGTATATTTTAGTGTAATTAAAACCGACATAACGATACGGTTACCATACAGGGACGAAGTGAGAAATTCTGTAAAGTAATAAAATATTTGCAAATGCATTGAAAGTTAAAACACAGCTAACAAGGAATGTTTTTGTCAACAAATAAGGATTAATTTCAACTTTAGGGAGTTAAAGTTAAAACGTTGTATCGTATTTAAAAAAAAATACAAATTGATTGTTTCTTAAAGAACATCTATTTACTATTAAAATGTGTTCTGAAAAACTCTTAGAAAGGAATAATAGAACCACTACTGAAAGAGAAGATATCATCATGTAGTAATTCTAGTCATCATATTGAACACTTTTTGGTTATAATTTTATTAAAATCTTCCCAAAAACTTTTTGTTTTATCATATGTATTTACCCTTATCAGATATAGTTGTAAGAACTTCTTCTTAGGGAAAACTATTTCTTGGTGTTCTAATTGAGAAAAATCCTGACATCATGATATTTAAAGTAATTATTTCAATAAAGAAATACCCGAAATTTGTAACATTCAAAGTCTTTTAAAGGCGCAGAATAACTCATAATTCAGGTATTATTAAAACATTTTCAATGCAACAAACTACTATATCAAAGGGTAAGCTGTTATGTCTGTGTCCTCAAAGTAATATTTTTATGCAGCTTTATTGTAAATATATCTTTAAAAATTGCATTAAAATTATAAAAAAAAAAACTAACCTGGCTAGTCAGCTTGGTTATTTCTTGCAAAAGGCTATCAGCTTGTTTCTTTACTTTTACAACATCTCCCTTCATCTGCATAGAAGCCACCTGTCCATTGAGTAGTCTTATGCCAAGCTGCTGCAACTGTTTCTCAATACTGGTAAGATTATTAAGTAGTCCACTTGCTTCCTGTGAAAGGATCTTTATTTGGGGATCTGTTGCCTTCTTGAAATTATCAAAGTCTTGTTTGGTAGTTTGAATCAATTTCTCTGCAGCTGTCAGTCTGGCAACAGATTGATTGGTAGCCTGTGCAACGACATCGATGTCATGGGACTGGTTCAGTAACTGCGACATAATCCTATTGGTCTTGTCAGAGAGTCCTGTAAACTGTTGTTGTTGTAGCGAGTCAACAGATTTCAGATCATTTTCAAGTTGCTGGTATTTCTTCTCCAGAGTAATTATTTGGGCAATTGATGGACCCGTGGATGGTTGTGGCTGGGATCCGGAAGTTGGTGGTTTATAGTTTTTGATCATATTTTCCAGATTAAGTAGTTTCTGTTCAGCTGTTGCTAATTGTACAGCTTGTTTGTTGATTTGATTTTGAATTGCAGAATTAACTTTAGACTCCTCTATTGCATTCCGCTGAAATTCCAATGATAAATTGAATATTCTGCCGTTAATGTCACCCACAGTCTTGGTCAGTAAGTCTTTTGTGTCGTGAATTAACTGGTTAACTGTTCCGCTAGGCTGCCCAGGACTAACACCTTGTTTAATTTTCTGAAGCTCCCCGTTCAAATCATTCACTTTTGAAACATACATTTTTGTGTCTGACTGTAACTGAGCTAAAGTTCCTTGCACAATACTATTCTGAGAAACATATTGGATTCGAGTTCTGTCCAAATCTTGTTTAACATTGTCTATTTTCTGCTCCAGTGCTGTAGATGTTGCGGAACAGGCTCCCTTTGCATCAGGAACTGTAAATTCATATTTACAAGTTGGTTGTTTCTTACTAATACCGAGAGGAATATATTGTGCATCAACACAAAGAAGTCCGAAAAGAAATAGAAATTTGATAAATTGTGCCATTTTTCTATGTTACAATGTCGATGGCGTTATCCTGTCTACTACAAATTATGATATAAATGGAATTTATAGGTTACAGAGGCGGAGTACTTGTTTGGCCGTCAAGAAAAGTAAATTTTGAGGTGTTGTTTAAAAGCGATTGGCGGATTCAGAATTGATAACTCATCCATGTTTTCCCAATGTTTGTATCCTATGTTTGCACATTAGTTGTTTACCCCCAATGACGTTCGAATGGCCCGAAATGGCGATGTATAAATAAATTGGCAACAAAATATAGCTAGATAGAGCTAAACAAATAAAAGATTAAAAGAAATCTTGCAAAAATCTGTTCATAGATATTTTAATTACCATTTAATCAATTTTAAGTCCAACCCATCTTTTTGGAAGACGCCGATATTTATTTCAAATACTTAAATGCTCTTTTTAAGTACTTTGAGGGAAGATACACACAAACACCATTAAATGGAATTCTATATTTAAATAAAGGATTGGCAGGGTTTTGGGTTAAAAGTAATTAAATGATTATCTAGACTACATGGTCTTTTCCTTATACTTACTGTTATGTATTGTCTATCATTTGCTATCAACAAATTAAAATGCTATACTCAATGTGCATTGAAACGTGAATTATTTAATAATTGCTATTGAAATCGAAATAACAGAAAACTATTTATCAAATATATTTAAGAATCGCATATTCGTTCTTGAAATAAAAAAAAAAACACAACTTAACCTAATAAAGCCATATGCTATTAAAGCAACAGATAACAAAAATAATGACAAAAAACGTAAACAGTTACTGTAAACTATCAATAACGACAATAGCTCATCACGTGACTCTCAGCCATAATCAGATTTCTCAACATTATACCTTAAACATTTCTGTGTTAAGAACCCTTTTTTGGGAGGGGGTCAAAAATCAAAGCAATTTACTTTCACTTGTTATTTTTCATTTTGCTTTTCTTCACATATGGTAAAACGAAATGAAAAGAAAAATAATACAATATGTTTTATAATACATTAGTATATGTTTTTATTGTGAAATTTACTTTTTTACGGTTTGCGTATTTTAAAAAATTAATTCAAATTAAAGAATGTGACAGACAGACTTCATTAATTTCTTTATCATCGGAAGTCTAACTGCTATCGTTCGTATAATTCTAACGTGCAACCAAGTGGGAAGTTTGTTTCAAAGTTTTTGTAAATATTTAATGAACCATGCATTATATGACTGAGTTGACATGTCGCTAAAAAACATTGCCAAGCAAGAAAGAATTGTTTTACATCAAATATCGTTTTACTGTCAATTTAGATATTTTATTAAAAATACATATGATAGTTTATCATAATACATTGAGACAAATGGACAAAATATTTGAACTCTTAAGCTCTTTTCTGAAGAAAATGATCTTGTATAATACCATCTTCAAGACTGTTAAAATTCATGGGAAATAATTAATATCATGTAAAAATGAGCGAATGTTTAACACTTCATTCCATTTTCAGTTTGTTGCATGAGAAAATCGTGAATGTTTACAGTTCGTAATTTTTTAGTTGCTATATATCTGTTACTGATTCCGTACACGAATCTTGTGAATAGTTGTTTCCAAACTTTCCCTCCCTCAGACTTCATGAAATGGCAAACAAACAAACCCATTTGTTTATCTTTTCGAAAGAGAAAGGAATGTTCATGGCTTGTGTTTAATTGTTTGTTTCTATAAGTTTGGAACTTTCCGTCTGTTTGACAATAACAAAAATCAATAAACATACTCATCTTACTGAATTTATGTAGATTAGGAAATTTCCTTGTTGCTTCAGAGGGCAATGGGTCAGTATGTGAAGTGTTGATATTGACATTGTCGAAGTCCAAATCTAAATATAAGAGTGTCAGTCTATGGAAAGTGCAAATCAAGAAAACCATGTGGAGTAGCAATTTTTTTTTTTTGTAAACAAGATGCATTGTGGTAAAATCGCAGACGAATGTTTACCAACTACTTGTTTACATCGAGTAACTATAATCCTTAAGATTATTGTCATTTCTTACAGCACGTGTCAAATGGTACCTATCAAAATAGGTAAAATTGATAGGGACAATTTGGATAACCATTTTAACTTAGAAGGGACACCTCGTATATATATTAATATTAATACACATGCTACATCAATCTTTAAAGACCCAAATGTTGCTAAACACTTGTCCTACCTCCATGACAAATATGTCGTTGTCCCCGCAGATAAAACCCCAAACAACATCGTTTTTGTATGTAAATCACATTACATAAACTGCTTATTGACAATTCACTTGGAAACTCAACATATACCCCCACGACACTTACTAAAGAGGAAATCCTGGATAATCATAGGTCTGTTCTATGTTCCTTTGGAATTCCAACCAAAGATGAAGAACTGGGTCTTCCATCACTGTATTGGATACCTAAACTACATAAGTGTCCTTACAAACATGCAACGGTATGTTGCTGAGTCGTCCAAGTGCTCCACGAAACCTCTTTCTAAATTATTAACCTCAATTTTATCAGCAATCAAAGCCGGGCTTCAAAGTTATTGTGAAACTACCTATTCTAGAGGTGGCGTGAATCAGATGTGGATACTAAAAAATTCCAAATATCTTTTAGAGTACATACAATCTAAGACTCTTTCGCCTTGCAATAGTATTAAAACATTTGACTTTTCTACACTTTACACAAGTATTCCCAATTCCAAACTAAAAGACAAATTGAAAGAGTTGGTCCTGCTTTGTTTCATAAAAAAGAATGGCCAACGTAGATACAAGTATCTTGTCTTACGGAGGGATAAATCCTACTTTGTAAAAAATCACTCTGATTCTAACAAAAAATTCTCTGAAACTGACATTATCAAGATGCTTGATTTCTTGATTGACAACATATTTGTTACGTTTGGAGGACGTGTTTTTCAACAAACAATCGGCATTCTCATGGGAACCAACTGTGCCCCTCTTCTTGCCGACTTGTTCCTTTATTCATATGAGGCTGACTTCATACGGGAACTTTTCAGGAAGAAAGAAAAGAAGTTATCAGTATTCTTTAACTTAACTTTTCGCTACATATATGCTGTTCTCTCACTAAGTAATTCAAAATTTGGTGACTATGTTGAACGCATCTATCCCATCGAACTTGAGATAAAGGATACAACAGATACATTTAAGTCTGCCGCACATCTAGAAATTGACAATGAGGAACGGTTAACGTTGAAAACCAAACTTTATGACAAAAGAGATGATTTCCGCTTCCCAATTGTGAACTTTCCCTTTTTATGTAGCAACATTCCAGCAGCATACGGAGTATATATCTCCTAGTTGATACGATACGCCAGGGCTTGTAGTTCCTATCCTGATTTCCTTGATAGAGGGTTGCTGCTCACAAGGAAACTATTAAACCAAGAGTTCCAAGTGGTGAAGTTGAAATCATCCCTTCGTACATTTTACGGACGCCATCACGAGTTGGTTGACCGTCACGGAATATCCGTTTCACAGATGATAGCGGAAATGTTCATAATGTCGTAACTACAATCCCATCCCATTTTCCCGAAAGTGACCTACCGAATTAGACTTATTACCGGGTTTGTACTAACATGAGCAACACGACGGGTGCCACATGTGGAGCAGGATCTGCTTACCCTTCCGGAGCACCTGAGATCACCCCCAGTTTTTGGTGGGGTTCGTGTTGCTCAGTTTTAAGTTTTCTATGTTGTGTTTTGTGTACTATTGTTTGTCTGTTTGTCTTTTTCTTTTTTAGCCATGGCGTTGTCAGTTTATTTTCGACTTATGAGTTTGAATGTCCCTTTGGTATCTTTCGCCCCTCTTTTACAGTGAATTTATAAAATCAGGGATTTTGTAAAATCTCTGTTTTAATTAGTAATTTTGTAAATTAACTAAACAAATTGTAAGGATTTTATAAATCCCTAATTACAAGTTAAAACTTATTATTAGAAAGGAATTTTCCTTAATAGTTTTCTACACCAGAATAGATTACCATAGCTATTTTAAGAAAAACCTTTTGGAAATTTGGGTCTTAATGCTTTTCAACTTCGTACGTTTTTTGACCTTTTTAACTTTCTTGATTCAAGCGTCTAATGGGTATTTTTTAGACGAAACGCACGTCTGGCGTACTCAGTTGTAAACCTAAAAAGTTTATAGATAGACCATTAATTGTTTAAATATATTTTTTGAATAGACTACTGGTTTTCTCTTTTTTAAAGTGACTATGAATAAAAGACACATGTACAGATAAAAACTACAATTTACTTATTTTTTCATAATGAGTTTTGGGTGACATCTGCTCTTAAATAATTTCTTCGATTTTCGACAGGCACACCTATTTTTCACATCTCCACATTGTAGAACTAAACAAAATTTACTTTTTATTTGATTTTGATCCAAAGAGTGGAAAAGATATAGAAAATTATGTACTCCTATGTGATAGCATGAATGTATATCATGTATATCACAGTATCTTATTATATGACCAAAGCAAGTGAAGCACGAAGAATGGCCATGGTGACCTACTACTGCCTGGTTGTAATAAGAAAACACTTATTCGATTTTTCAATTTCCATTGTACTGATCAAACATGAAAAATCTGCGATGATTATATTTGACTTGTTTCCAGAGTTAGAGTCAGAATATTAATACGACAGGGTACTAGCTAGGATGGCATGTCTTCCTGTGGACGTTTACCATGTGAAGTAGCATGTTTATATTCTGTTGGATCAGCTTGTTGGTCTAGCACAAAAAAAGGTTCATGTTCACATCACATTAATATATTCTCGTTCTGATATGCATTTGATACTTGCCACTGGAAAACATGACCTAAACAAATCAATTTCTAACTTCTTGCATGCGTTTTTCTACTCTTACAAAGGTAATCAGTTTAATGTACTGCTTTAATATATTTGATTTTGAAAATAGATCATTTTTGTTTATACTTTTCAGAAATTACAGACTGAAGCATTAAACATTTATTTAACTAACTTTCAAACCAGGTAGTAACTATGAGCTTGCTTTGTATCTTATGTGGGTCTTTGGTAATATGTTCCACAATTTCCTCCTTTTTAAATTTTTTTCTCACCTTCTATTAACTTAAAAGGACATGTTCAGTGTTACTGTTGTAGGCTTTCGTCTTTTTTCAATGAATAATTTAAACAAAAAGATTAATTGTTTTATAAATTCCATGAATTAAATCAGTGAGTCTGTAAAAAAAAATTAATTATTTCAGGGATTTTGTCAAATCCCTAGCCAAAATCAAGGATTTAATAAACTCACAAATCAGTTCAGTGATTTTACAAAACTCCTGAAATTTCAGGGATTTTTTACTGTAACATATGTATAAACAGTGAGAACTTAATATGAACTCGAATTACCTTTGACCTTTAACACTTTTTGTTGTCTTTTCGGTGTTACTTTATGTATAAATGTTTAAATACATTTATTAGACTAATTTTGAAAGACAACTTGATGGTCGTACGGTGACCTATAGTTGCTTGCAACTACATTAGTTGGTCTTTGGTGGATAATTGTTTCATTAACATTCATACCACATGTTCAAGTTTACATTGAATTATATAAAGTCTCTATTAGCTAGTTTTCCTCCAAAGTACTGATTGCTTACAGTACGATACTGTTATACTACGGTAATAAATGTTTTTTAAAAAGAATTTTTTCAGTCGTCTAACATGCAAAAAGGTTCTTGAAATCACATACTTGTTAATTTTCTTGATAATTTTACTTGTGTGAAAAAGCATTAAGATATGATGTCCTTGATAACCTCAATTTCATCAGTTGACTGACAGCTGAATTTTAAACGTATATCGCCAACGTAGTTACCGAAACCAAGTTTTAGTATAAAATAGTATATTCTCTATCAACACGAGGGATTAAAGTATTAAGCAAATATCTACTTCAGCTGCAGGTACTTCCGTTTGTGAAACAATCACGCCCGTTTTCAATCCTCTTATGTTTTCTATGTTCCAAGACAACTTACAATGTTTTCTGTCATCCCACGAGGTATCCACGAATTAAAAAGAATGTACATTTTCATATTATATATTGAAATTCTATAATACCCTGCTCGTTAATTAAAAGAACATCGTATGAAATTACAGAATGTTATATAACTTGAAACGATAGAATGAATTTCTAATGCAAAATATTATAATATGTAATAAACAAGTTTTAAATGAAATATTTATCAATAGGGATGCGATAATAAAATTTGTACACACAGATGACATCTTTTGATATGTATGCACATTCGTTGCGCTTGAACAAGTATTAAAAGAATCACTTAAGACGCTAAAGGTAATATCAACCTGAAACCGAGATAATAAATGTTGCACACAATTCACATTTAGAAATCGATTATGTTGACTGAAAATACAATATAATAATAACTTGTTATTAAGGTGCACACGGTATGTGTCAACTATATCAGACATTTTTGTGGTGATAGCGTTACATAATTAACAGGTGTTTTGATGGTGATTTTTTAATATTGTTTTCAATCAATTAAGAAAATTTTGTGCGATTAATTTGGATGAACTGTTCAGAAACAAACGACTTCTGTGAGCAGTGCCGTCTGAACAGGAATTAAGACAGTAAGTATCACACGTTTTTCTTTATTTTGAAGTCTTTAGTTATACAAAAGACGTAAATATTAAAATACAGTTAATGGCGGAAATTTAAGCGTATTATCCTTTATGGTTGAGGATATTTTGCTTTTATGATAAAACGTTAACAATTAAACCGTGCACTATCGACCATTTATAACAACATCGATTTAACTGTACATGATGTGTTAACGACTGAGGCATTTTACAGGTAAATGACAGTTTACAAATTATTTATGTATTAATTTCGATATCTATGTTACACCATCATTGTTATAATCTTAATCAAGATATGTTAAAAATCTTTGTATAAAGTCCAAGTGTTTGGTGGCATTTATTTTCGGTGATGTTGAAATAGATGTCTAACAAGTAGCATGCACGATTTTGGCTAGCTGTAGATGTTATCCCAAAATTGGCGATGGATTTCCGGTTACTTTCTGACTGTATACATGTAGCAACCTTTTGATTTCCTGCCGCTTCTTCTGGGTTTTGTACTTTTAATTCGTTTGACAATTCTCAGATACTTGTACACCTGAGTCATTTGTTTCAAAATATTCGTCAATATAAATGTAATTGAATATTACATAATTTATATCTTTATTGTAAAATTACACCCATAAGGTTCAACCAATAAATAATAAAATGCATACATGTACTTGTACAAGAATACAACACATGAACATTAATTTTAACTAAACAGACAAATACAAGGGGATATTTACTACATTGCACTTGTATGAGTATCATGAGCCTGGCTGACATAGGTCTGTCGTCCTCAGTTCTAAAAACTGTCTTATAAAGACTCCAATATGACAAACAAGTTTTGGGGTGCGGCTAATTTATTAATTGGATCAAGAACTTGAAATGATGGAACGTTGTCTTTTTAATAAGCAAAACAATTGATATCACCAAAAAATATATTAATCATCTAGTAATTTACATTTCTTTCATACTCACTGTACTCTTGGGATGTTTATGTAACTACCCACTTCAATGCCTTGGTCTTAATCATGATCACAATTGTCCATATGTGAAATTATTGCAATTTAAATATTCCTTACTGACAATTAATTTCAGCTTTTCATAAAGACAAAGTTTAGATGAGGAATCATCTCAAGGCAATTTCTCATATTTGTCTGAAACAAAATTGTGTTGCATCGGAACGAAATCGACCTTATGCAAATGAATATCAATACATCTGTAAACTATTTCGGGTTGAAAAATATCTATACAAAGTCTGTAACTGTTTGAAAATTGAGTTGATATAAGAACCTACATAACATTATTTCGTATCTGAATGGACTCAATCAAAATATATTACATACATTGCTTACATCCACATCATTCTGGCATATCTCATTGACAATCATACCACATCTCCTTACTTTTATATGTATATGTGCACTTGCATAAAGTCTATTTCTATCCGACGCAGCTCAAATTATGCTTCATTTGTATTGATACAGATACATTACTATGAACTTTATTATTATTTTTCTTATATTAAAATTACTAATGCATATTTACACTAATTAAAAAAAATATATAAAAAAATGGTTCAGATATTACCATATACTAAACTGTGGTGTCACTGACGAAAAATCTCAAAGTAACAAGTACAAAAGTAAAACTGATAGTGGGAAAAAGCCTCCAACGAATAAGAATTACTAAAGGAGCAAAACGATTGAAACCCTGAACCTGAGAAATATATACAATTACACGTCAAATATGTAGTGTCAGTAATCTAATTTGTGTATAAAGTATTTATTGATTGTTGGTTACGTTAATACCATCCCGGTTAGACTTGCTACAATTCCCTTTCTTTTATTTATTTCTTACTAATTTATATGTTTACTGAAAACTGCCAGTATACTGATTGGCCTTGGAGAAAGAAAGCCTTCATGATACAGATGTCAGTATAATGGTAATCTCTTAGTTATAGCAGTAAAATTGTTAAGGGGCAAAATTGAAAAAAAATAAAAATAAGGAAGGGACATGTAGCAAGTCTACGTCCCGGTAGAAGGTCGGGAAAATTTTGACTGCCACTGGAAAATGAGGGTATATTGGATAAGGACAGAAATTGTGCCCTGCAACAGGCCACATGCGGACCACTCAAAGAGTTGTTGCAAGGTTTCTTAACGTGCAGAAAGTGTGGAACAATTTTTACACGAGGCTTCGGATTTAACGTCCTCATTCTGATCGGACGTGGCTGTTTACTTGTACATCCCGCAAAACCAAACGAACAACCGACTTTGGCAAGGGTTTTACTGCCGGTCGGAAGAAAACCAAGAGTGACCATATTTCTATTCCCCAGTCACAGTTGGGTTGTGTACAAAGTGAGATAACAGTGTCCTTGAAATTCTCAAAATAAATCCTAGAATTATAGCTGAGAGAAATTGTCTAAACTCTTGTGGTAATATGCATTAAAGTACAATATTTTACAGCAATTGGGATCATTTACGCTTGGGGAGTAATAACGGTCCATACGACACCATGCCCCGCTCGCACTATTATATTTCCATGTCATGTTAACCGCGAAATCACGATCAAAACCCTTATTTTTGGATATATTATAAAAAAAATCACAAATAATAATGAGTTCTAAGTTTCAAATCGATGTGAACACAACTTCGTGGTAGTAATCTTCCTTGAACCATGGAAGTATTATATTGACATATTACTTCCATGCTTGAAACAAAACAAAATAGTTTTGCCACATACTAGTGTTCTTTAATGTGCAGAGGAGCATGATATTCACTCTATTCGGGGCATCAAATTTAATGCCCCATTCGGACCGAACGTGGCTGTGTATTTATACATCCCGCATAGCCAAACGGACGCCCCACATTAGCAAGGGTTTTACTGCCGGAAGGGAGAAGTCCAGTGATAACCTTACCTATTTATTTAGCCCAGTCAGCCCTTGTGGTTTATGCAAGAAATATTTAGCACAATTAAATTTTTATATAGTTTTACTTTTCTCATTTTATTAACCTCCCACATGTTTCTTACATCTAAACCATTTCATTTAATGAGCTTTCGCATTTCTTCTTGAATAGTAGTTTGGAATTAAAAATCTATTTGACATTTCATGTCACATATTGAAAATCAATATAATAACGGAATCTGAGATAATTAAAGTGATGATATCTTATCTTTGCAGGAAATAAAAGGGTGCAAATAGTTTATGTATATATCTCTTCTACTGTCTTACCTAGACCAACGTTCATTTTATAAGTGGATTAAAAAGTAAGTACACGCATGTGTAATGAAATTATATCTATTTTATTATCATAGGAACTTCTATTTCGTTTTATATATATATTATCATTATGACGAATTTGAGTAAACAAAATGGGTAATCTCAAGCCAACGGCAGGAAAAACAATGGAAAGAACTTGGCTGACTGTTGTTTGCTTAAAACCTAGCGATTGATATCGCATACACATTTAGTATATAATCCTGGATAGTGTAACCTTGCAATTTCTTTTGATGAGACGTCGTTTTGAGGTGACATGTTATGGATATGTATTTATAGGAAATATGGATTGCGATTGAGACAACTATCCACCAGACTAGACTAGAGGCTCTGAAGAGCTTGTGTTGCTCACATTTGTCTGTGTGCATTTTCAACGATGGACATTGTGGACTAGAATAGAATTCATGACAAAAAATCTGTTTTTTGTCGATCTTGTATTGCTGATCATTTTTGCTGTGTACCGTTTCTCTCTATCTTCTTAGTTTTTGCCCAAAACATAGAAAAGGGTATACACATTTTTCATTTAACGGCAATCATCCTATCAAGAGTCTACTAACGATTCTGAAAAAATTGGTTTATTTGTAGATCTTGTGCTTATATTTTTTTTTCTATTTAAAATGTCTATCTATCTTTATAGTTTTCAAGTTGATAGACAAAATTAAACGCAAAAATTGGGAAAACTCTATGTAGATCTTATCGTACTGATCATTTTTGTTTTTAAAGTGTCTATCCATCTATTATAGTGTTCGTGTTCAAGATAATAGCCGATAACACTAGAAATGGATAAAAATTGTCACTAAAGGACCCTAACTCTAATAAGGAGTCAACTGAAAATTTCGGCCATTAGACTTCTTTGTAGATCTTGTCTTGCTGATCATTTTTGACAATGTAAGTTTCTATCTATCTATATAATTTAAGATATAAGGCAAAAACGCAAAATATTGGTAAAAATCGTCGTTAAGGGCAAAAGTTCCAATAAAGAGTTGTCCGACGATTTCAGCAATGTTTAACTTAATTGTGGATTTTGTCTTGCTTGTCATTTTTGCTGGTTAAAGTTTCTCTCTATTTATTATAATTTTGAAGATATTAGGCAAAAATGCAAAAAATGTTAAAAATCGTCATTTAAGGGCAATGACTCCTATAAGAAGTCGTCTGACAGTTTTGATGTTACAGTATATAGGTAGATCTCAGCATGTTGAACATTTCTGCCCTCGTCAGAGTTTGTCTACATGATTCTATAGCGGTTTTTAAGATAATAGACAAAACTTGCATTTTACCCCTATTTTCTATTTTTAGCCATGACAGCCAAGTTGGTTGGCAAGCGGGTCATCGAACACATTTTTTTAAAATGACTTTATAAGGACATTCCATTCAGTGTTTCTCTAAAAAAAGACATTTGTATGTATTGTCCATTAGGTCCTATATTAAACGAAGTCCCCCGCTGGCTGCCATCTTGGATGATGGATCCCCTACAAAGTTACAACACTTGGTCAGCACCTCATAAGGAACATTCATGCCATGTTTTATTTCATTCCATTGAGTGGTTCTCTCAAAGAAGACATTTTTATGTATTTTCCATAGGGTCCTATGTTAAATTAAGTCCCTCTCTGGCGACCATCTTGGATGATGGATCGGCTTCAAAGTAACAACACTTGGTCAGCACCTCATAAGGAACATTCATGCCATGTTTGGTTTCATTCCATTCAGTGGTTCTCTAAAAGAAAACATTTGTACGTATTGTCCATAGGGTCCTATGTTAAACGAAGTCCCTCTCTGACGACCATCTTGGATGATGGATCGCCTACAAAGGAACAACACTTGGTCAGCACCTCATAAGGAACATTCATGCCATGTTTTATTACATTCCATTTAGTGGTTCTCTAAAAGAAGACATTTGTATGTATTGTCCATAGGGTCCTATGTTAAACAAAGTTCCCCGCTAGTGGCCATCTTGGATGATGGTCCATTGGATCGGCTTCAAAGTTACAACACTTGGTCAGCACCTCACAAGGAACATTCATGCCATGTTTGGTTTCATTCCATTCAGTGTTTCTCTAAAATAAGAATTTGTATGCATTGTCCATAGGGTCCTATGTTAAACGAAATCCCCCGCTGGCGGCCATCTTGGATGATGGATCGGCTTCAAAGTAACAACACTTGGTCAGCACCTCATAAGGAACATTCATGCCTTGTTTGGTCTCATTTCATTCAGTGGTTCTCTAGAAAAAGTTCAAAATGTAAAAATTTAACGACGACGACGACGGACGACAAGTGATGAGAAAAGCTCACTTGGCCCTTTGGGCCGGGTGAGCTAAAAATGAGGATGCAAACAACAACAGGGCACTAACTACGTTTCATGCCGGCTTGATACGATGTTTCTTCATAGAGTGACTTTAATTTGGTCAGTGGTTTGGTATTGACATGATTTATAACATTTCCCATTGATAAAATAAGAAATTTTTTAAGAAACTAAGATTCCAACACCCTCAGGCAAACTTGACCTAAGATACATTTGGCTATTCATTTATGTCCTTTTGGTCATATGGCTTCTAACGTTTCTACGTATTTTTGATCCTTGTCTTTCAAATGTTTAGATTTTAGAGTTTCTGACGAAGGTACTAGTATATTAAAAAAACCTCTTCGAACACAATCGGTATTCATAACGTGTTATTTTCATTCACTAATATAGACGACAAAAGATAAACTAATAATTCTACACAAAATATTGTTGACCAAAGACATGTTTATCAAACTACAGTTTTGATAGGGAAATACATAAACATGTACATTTGAATAATGCTACAAAAAAAATCAATAGCGAAGTTTTTATTTCCTTTTAATAATAATAACTTAAAACTAAAAAACTCATAAAACGACTTTAAACATACCATAAATACCAAAACCAAATGTGTTACATTATGGACTGTTAAGTACCAGAAAGGTTCTATAGCATATTTTATAAATTCATTTTATGCAAGATTTTTCTTAAAATTGCCAAAAAAGGTGTTTCGTATAAGGAAAGAAAATTAATAACACTGTTACCACTACTCTAAAAAACTAAAGGCTTTATTAGTTTCTCTTCGATTCGTGAGGTCTGAATATCCCCTTGGTAACTTCCGCCTCTCTTTAATTTTTTAATTCTTTTAATAAGTAAATAATACATCTTCAAAGAAAAAGGAAATTTCTACAAAGGGAGTCCACCGGAATGAAAGTCGGGAAATATAGACTACCATTAAAAATTGTATGTTGGATATGACAAACATTTGTCTGGCAACAGGCCACCTTTTGTACCCCTCAAAGATTTTTTAGCAAGGGTTCTTTATCGTGTAGGTAGTAAAATATAAACTTGTTCATAAACGTTGGCATGAAGACTTCCTGGAGACATATTAGAGTAGGTTATAACAAATGTACTAATCTTTTAGTGGCTGAAAGACGAATCATTTGATTCCTTCAAATGCTTTTATTTCGAAAAAAAAAACAACAACCCGTGGCATATAAAAGTAACCTTATTAACCAACACTTGAATGAATGAATGAATGAATGAATATTGTTTCGCATTGTTCGTGTACTTCGTGCAAACAATTATTAATTTCCAAATATCGCAAATCTTGTTCATTTGAAAAAAGAAGCTGACAGTATATATTGTTCATATCGAAAATTGATATAAATATATAACAATAAATCGGTATCGTAAGATGATATATATAGATTATAACATGGCCTTTTTTCATATCAGACCCCTTATCAGCCCTAGGTCATGTTATCAGCCCGAGAGCCGACAGGCTCGAGGGATGATTTTGACCATGGGCTGATAAGTGGTCCGATATGAAAAACGATATGTTATGTTCTTTTTATCATATACTTCAGCAGAATACATACAGACAAAACTATTTTTAAAACTTTGAAACAATGCATTTGTTGTAATATTTGTTTTGTATTTTTTAATAATATATTTTCCTGATAATTGTTGTCATCTCCACTTGATTGGGTATTAGTACACCCTTCACATTCAAACAGACGACACGTTCCTCATCAGGAGTGGTTGCAAGACACACTACATTTTTACAAAGGATAGTCGAAAGATACCAAAGGGATATTCAAAACTCATAAATCGAAAAAAAAACTAACAATGCCATGGCAAAAAACAAAAACGATCAAAATTTTAAGACAAATAACAGTATACAAAACATAACATAAGAAACTAAAGACTGAGCAACACAAACCCCACCAAAACCCGAGTGCGATCTCAGGTGCTCCGGAAGAGTAAGCAGACTCTGCTCCACATGTGGCACCCGTCTTGTTGTAAATTCAGTAGACCACATTCGAGGGGAACAGGACAGGATTGTGGTTATTGACTTTGCAATAACACTGAGCACCTTACCGATCCACCCTAAAAATAAATGAATAAAAAAAACCAAACCCCTCTAAAAAAAAACTAAAAACAAAAACTTAAAAAAACAAACAAAATTTCATGCAAACAACAACAAATCAAGAGAGACAATAAACAAACACCAAAGATATACGTAAAACTGTATTCATCTTGCAATTCAAATTACATGTAGTACCGGTAAATACATTGTAGTTAGTATACGTGTAATGAGATTAATACAATGGAAAGGTAGATGCAAGATGAACAACATAGATCACTTGGCCTCCGAGGCCCTAAAAAAAACGGATTAGAAAATAAAAGTACTACATTGGTGTAGTTATGTGACATTTAAATTGTATATTGTTTTGAATTTATTTTCAGGAAGAATACAATTCATGTCAAACAGTGTCAATGTCAAAACATAAAATGTAAGACGATAAACGGCATGTAATGGTTGGCCAATCATAAACAAAGTGTTAAAATGGAGGAAATCATTCGATCAGACAGCCGTAGAAACCGTGACCTCCTTGAGGTCGTGATACAAAAGAATGAAGAAAAAAGTGGAGATGATAGTCGTCATCGTCTACCTGGCCTGTTGTCGACAGCTACTGATGAAATTAGTGGACCACCTAGCTTTGCATCTAAAAGGAGTGGCGATATATCAAAAGACAGATTCAGTAATGAGGTCGAGGACTTGAAAATTAATCAAAGTATTTCCTATATTCATAAAATGATAAACAGTCTAGGAATTCTCTGTATTGCCAATTTGGTGCTTTGTGGTTTAACATTACAGGTTATACTCAATATTACTGAAAATGATGTTGGTCATCCTAGAAACACTTCCCTTTTGTCATCACCTAAGTCATATGCTGATCTCCTGGAAGTGACGTCAGCTTTTGCATCGTTTGTGTTCGCGCTTGATATGTGTTCTATGATGATTTGTTGTATGCAGTTTTTCTTTGCATCTAAAATACTCACCGTTCAAAATGGGAAGGAAAGGTAATTATGGATGGTGTTTTTAGGTTTCAATAATTTGTAGTTATACTTTTGTATCATATGACAATGATCGCCAATTAAATACGCATTTTCAGGCAAAACAAAATCATTGGTATAAATAATAAGAATGATAATTATTATCAATATCCATTATTATTTAACACTACATGTACGTGCGTACATTAATTAACCAGATGGAGTCTTGGTATCACACGATTCTTACTTCCAAAAGTTCGGGGATATAGTGTTATTATTTAATGTAGGTGTGCTTGATTTTGATTTATGTACAAAAATATCAATAAGGTAAACAATAGATAGATGAGCATTCGTGGGATTGAACTAATAGAAAAGGTCAATCAAAATGACGATGCAGTTGAAAGAAACTAATTATATATATTTCGTCTTGAATTTGTAAAAAAGATGGAAAATCACACAAATGACACTAAAACTAAAACTGATATATACGGGACAACATAGTATATATTACAGTCCTCAACAAAGATAAATGAAGTAGAAATAATGTTATTGTCGTAAACTAGATTTATAAATTATTATATTGCGTTGAAAAAGAAAATCTATATCTCTTTTCAGGGCAGCAAAATATTTAACAGATTGTTCCAGTAGTCGTTTTGTAGCAATTTTAGGTTTCTTCATATCCGTCCCAGCTTTTCTGATTAGTAAGTTGAATATCATAACTGAAACATATATATTTACTGAACTAAAGACTTAAATAGTATCGAGTAAGTACACACTAGTGTAACATAATGAATTAAAGAAATACATTGTTGACCCAATCGTTCCTGATTGTACATGTCAGCTACAATTGTACAAAGCTAAATATATAGAAGTATATATTCCGATAAGTAACTTTAATTATATGGTAATTTCACATTCTTAGTCATTTTGATAGAAGAGACGCCGAAAATGCGTTCACTAATTATTCACAGAATCGTAGACACTGATTTCTTACAGAATCGCAGAAACTATTATACAAGAGAAAAATGCCAATTTTACTGCGCACGCCACTCGTTCAAGTATGATCATTCTGTTTTACACGCCCTAAATAATTCTGTATCGGATGATACCCGTTTCCGGACTTCACCATGCAGGCATGTCACTGATAAAAACAAAAGCAAAACATCCACGGTCAAAATGCATGAAAATGCCAAACCCATATTGTCAAAATGCCTGGAAATACACGACGAATGCCAGTACCCAATATCAACATAATATGTATTCATAGTGTGAACTGAATATAACCGTATATTTATATTGCTTTCTAAGCGAGATCACTCTGATTTAAAATTGAATATTTAATTTGTTTCAGCAATGATGTGTTATGTACTTATGAAAATGAGAACAACCCCAGCGATCACAGCGGCCGTTATATTATCTATTGGAGTAGTTTTGAGTGGACTGAGTATATTTCAAAATGTTTATCATTGGCAGGATGAAATCGCACGAGCCAATGATGGGCTTCCGGTCTATGAAGATTCTAAAATACATACGAATAATCAAAGACCAAAACATGAATTGAATACTTTAGTATAATAAACTTCGAGTTTTACTTTTAGAGTGTTTGAACAGGGAAAAGGCAGTGGGTGGACGAACACGAGATATCAACTTCTTTGAATAATTAAACAAGCACTGGATAGATAAAACAACACAACGAAGGCACAACCTACTATTTTAAAAGCAATAATTGTTTGTAAAGAAGTGCAAAATGTGCTATTGAAAAAAAACACATGCGATCGTAGACTTGAACAGCAAGATGATGTTAATTGATTTTACTCTGCAGTTTTGCACAAAAGATATATTTGAACTTCACGTTAAAATGGCAGATATTGATTGATTATTATTGAGGACGACATTCTACTCTACCCTATGGTTATCAGTATTCTTTTACCCTTCATACAAATGCTTTACATGTATCACTGATGCGCTTTATTTACTACATGTACATGACGTCAAAGTTTATTACTTTTAATTTAAAATAAAAAAAAGAAAACAGAAAATTCAGTATAAGTTGAATTACACATAGCTGAGAGGTTGATATAGCAGATAGTTGCCTCTTGAAAAAAACATTGTTAACCTTTGACGTCGCCTCGGTTGACAATCATGTTTTCGCGGGGTAAGAATTTGCTCTATCACCCTCTCAGCTATGTGTTATTTATATAAAGATAGATAGATATTATGTAAATCTAAAGTATCACCATGAAAGCAAGCACAGGTACATGTACAATGATAAACGTACGAACATGCTCCTTAGGTAACTCAATCCGGTAAGATCACTGCCAACTGTTTTAATAAAGCAATTGTGGATGGAATGTAGTCATTGAGAACGCATACATAAAAAGAAACCACACAGATCAGCTTAAAACGACAAGCGTGGTACTCACTCTTTCTACACGATTTAACGTCCTTATTCAGACTGGACGTGATTGCGTATTTATACATCCCACACAACCAAACGGACGCCCCACTTTGGCAAGGGGTTTACTTTATAAAGAAAAAAAAACAAAAGTTAACACATTTCTATACCCCAGTCACCTTTGGGGTGAAGAAAATTTGGAATTTGAAGAACAGTTTCTCGTTGTAAGGGAAAATGTCCAGTCTGCAATATACTCTCCGAAACGGTCAAAACTGAAAAGATTTCATTTACAATATAAAAAAAAACTTATTTTATCCAAGAATGTTGGTTTCTATTTACACCGAATTTGAATTTAAAGATCGAAAAACTTTATAAAAAAATGAAAGTCAAAATATCCATAGTAAAATTGTTCAATCGATACTATTTGGTTCTTTATTAAATACTTTATTAAGATTGTTAAACTCAATAAAAACGGATGGCATTTGCCGTCAGAATGGACTTACAGTGAATATTACTGCTTCCAAATTACCGCCCTTCATTCTGGTTGACCCCTACTACTGGACTTACCTATTGTTTTTATTGTTAATTAGTTCTTATCCTGAACATCCATGAAACATTTGCCACTGGACGTAAAGCAAACAACAATCAATTAATATAGTTCTTTCTTTAACTTCTCTGCTCAAGCTTCATACATATGAGGAGTATTGGCATGTTGCTATGACAATTACAGTTATTAAAGAAATATAAATAGTGGTTTCCGTGTCCGTTTGGATCTGAATATTTTTCATACTAAAAACCATACTGATTTTATACAATACTCTAATAACCTTATGATCTCATCGACTGTCATGTCGAGGAAAGTTATGAAATTATTTATATATGATAAACCTTACACCAGGACATATTTTGAAAACTGTTATAGTCAATAGATTCCTAACGGCGAACGCGTCAAAAACTGAAGAGTATTACTTGGATGGGAGATAATCATTGAACCAGTGTATCCACTGTTTGAAAAAGAGCGAAATTACAGCAGAACAATTCAACACAAGTGTTCTGTCCCCTAGTCCTCTTTCCTTAATATTAATGCCCTTATAGACAGAGTAAACTGGTGTTTCTTCTTCAAATACTAGTAATGGCATTACTGTTATATTTTAGCTCCCCTTTCAAAAAATTAATTAAATTAGAGTTTTAGTTGAGTTAACTGCTATTTCTTTTTTCGCTAGAGTTATACCAGAAAAACGTGTTCGTTTATTCACTCAAACCATATTCACATATTTAATCGTGTAAGTAGCAAAGCTTCATTGTTTCCTTTATTTTCTTACTGTGTCACTTTTAATCTGTATCTCTGAGATAGTGTATCCAGAGATATTTAAGCAATTCGTCATATCTTAACAAAGTAAGTTGTGCTTTTAGTTAGTGGTGATAAAATTCTGCTACTCTAGTACTAATACATTAACCTAGTTTGCATCGCCTGTTCCCATGAAGGACAATATCCTCTTCTTAATATTGAAATAACCTTTTATTTGCCTTTCTGATATAAATGTAACTGCATTTTTTTCGATGTTGGACTAATGGAATGTCGAACTGTTGGGTGTCGGACAAATAGGGTGTCGGACAAATAGGGTGTCGGACTATTGGGGTGTCAGACCATTGGGGCGTCGGACTAACGGGGTGTCGGTATAAGAAAAGGGAACATTTTCTTGAATATTCATTCATTGACAATTAAAACCGAATGCTACAAAAGTAGATAAAAGTATTGACGCAGTCTTTAATGATATGCAGTGGTGTATTGGAAGACAAAATTGAAAAAAAAACCAGACAAACCACGCCAAGTGAGGCAGCAGATACCAAAGGGGTATCAAAACTTATAAGCCGAAGACTAACTGACAACGCCATAGCAAACAAAGGGAAAAAAACAAACAAACTGACAACGCCATGGCTAAGAAAGGGAAAAAACAAACAAACTGACAACGTAATGGCAAACAAAGGAAAAAACAAACAAACGACAATAAAAGTTTTTGAAATACAAATCCGAAGTGCCAACTCTGACAAGATATAGTATAAAATTCTTTAATAACAAACTTGAAAATTTACAATGTACATAAATAAATAAATAGGAATTGATATAACAACAAATATAAATATACAAAATGGCAATACAAAACAGTACAAAAAATACGTGTAATACATACATAGAAAAGTGTATAAATCATATCATTTATTTTCCAAATTATTTAAAAAAAAAAGGTAAACTTTCGTATTGTTTTAAAATTTGCTATAAAAGTCATTGCATGCTTGAAAGGCAATTTATAAAAATGTGTTATCGACAACTACAATGTTTAATGTGCTGCATGGAATATTGCATCTATGGACGAAAGACACAAAGACGACAGAGTCCAGTTTCGTCTTCGACTGTTATTTAAAATATGTCACCTTTCATCGTCTGGAATGTACAGTCGGAGTGTTTTCTAACACAAGTTCATCAGATATCTCAATAATTTGTGAAATTACGCTTTATGATAAACCAAATATCTTTGATTTTTTGGAGGAGAGTTGTAAAGCTACCAAGCTACTATTCTCCTTGAAACCCCATTAGTTACCGCTTTGTTATTCATTATTGCTGGTTTAGTATGAGTATTGTTATTATATCTACTGATTGTCTGAATAGTTGGTTTTGATTTTACAGATTTGATTGGAGTTGTTGAAATAGTCTTTTCTAAAGGCACTCTCAGTTTCATCACAATGCATACTGTGGTTATTACAGTGAATGATATAAGTCCTAGAGATCCAAATACTAGACCTAATAATATTTCTGCAGTAATTACAAAATCTGAAATAAACAAGACACAGGCAATTACATACTAAGTCTTGTTCGTGCAAAAATTAGAATGCAAATATAGTTATAAATGAAAGGACTCTTATACTGTTGTAATTCTCCCCCCCCCCCCCACCAAGGGTGACTGGGGAATAGAAATATGGTCACTACAGGTCTTCTTCCGACCAGCAGTAAAACCCTTGCTAAAGTGGGGCGTCCGTTTGGCTGTGCGGGATGTGCAAGTACGCAGCCACGTCCGGTTAAAACGGGGACGCTAAATCCGATGCCTCGTGTAGAGAGAGGGCCACACTTTCTGCACGTTTAGAACCATTGTAACAAATCTTTTAGGGGTCCATAGGTGGCCTGTTGCAAGGAAAAAGTTCTGTCTCTATCCAATATACCCTCATTTTCCAGTGGCAGTCTAAATTTCCCCGACCTTAATCCCAGACGGCCTCTATTGCAGGATCTACCTATTGTATTGTATTTTGTTCTCGTCCTGAACATGCATGAAATATTTGCCACTGGACGTTAAGCAACCAACAATCAATTAATCAATCAATCAATCAATACTGTTGTAATTAGAAAATATTATGCTGCCCGAGTTTGTATTGACAACTTATATTCCGAAATTCTAGTTTGAATTATCTCTCTTTGTTTATTCAGATCAGCTGACATCACTAGTCGGGTACAATATACATTATATGAAGATCAGAACCATTTACTGATATATAGTACTAACCTTTTGAATTACTCTCAGTTGTATTTGATGACGTCATTGTTGTGGTAGTAGGATTTGGTATTCCTCTATACCTCAACAAAAAGCCTCGTCTATTGACAGAACCATCACTTTCAAATGCTACAACAACTGATGTACTATTAGATGTATAGTTGTATGGTATTGTATCAGGATATTCATTACACACAACTGACATTCTGTTATAATCACATCGATGTTCGCCTGAAAGGAAATAACTTGGATTAAATTATCACTGTGAAATGTTTACAATAATTGAATAACATTAACATATCGCCAAATTAAAGTATTGTACACTGCAGATGTTGAACTGGAAGTAGAAAGAAATATACAGTTTACATGTACATTGTATGGTATGTACATTGTCGGCAAATATCAAATTCATTTGATCGAGCTTGAGATGCGATAGAAAAGCTAGGCTCGCCGAGCTTTTCTCATGTTTCGTAACAAATACAAATGAATTCAATATTTTGAGGCAATGCACACATATCATGTTTATCCCGCAATTTAAGATTGGTGCAGTATGTTTATTTTTTTTTTAATTCTCAACTGTTGTCTTTGACTCTTATAGTAATCGACATGGCTATAACGCGGACCGTGTTGAGGACCTCAAAATAAACTGTGACGTAAACAGTTATTTTATCATTACAGTTTCCTCAACATATAGAAGCAGAATATCAGGCTTTATTTGTAGGAAACATTTATTTGTACAATAGATGCCCGATTGCAGGGTAAAGCTTTTTGCATGCACTGTACTATGTGGAGTTTATTATCATTGTACTTGTTTAATATCTTCTTTAGTACAGTTATATAAAACATACCATCGTATATTTGATATTTGTCATAATCGCACGACGTTCCATCTTCGATATCTCCAAGTATAACATTTATTTCTATTGCACCAAATTCGTAAGCTAAATTCCATCGACAATCGCTTTTACTAAAAACAAAAGCAAAAAAGTCATATGCAATGTGTATTCAAATTTCGATAGAATACACAATGTATGTATAAATGCTATTAAATGTAAACTAAAAGATTTGTTACTTAATGGGAAGGATTATTCGGCTGATTGTTGTAAATACAAAGTGTTGAAATATACTTGGTATAATTTAATAAGATAAGTAAAGCGACTTAGGACACTTTCGATGCTATCAGATTTTTACTACAAAGTTGGTATTCGATATGTCCGATTTGTCTTAGCCAGAATCACGTTCTCCTTTTCATTTATAACTTATTATCAAATGCGAATTACTAAAGTATCACCGGATTTGTACCTGTTATGAGTGCAGCACGACGGTTGTCACAAGTGGAAAAACGAACTGCTTACTTTCAGGAGCACACAAGTTCACTTTCGGTCTTTTAATTAGGTTTGTGTAGCCCAAAATTGAGTGTGGTGTTTTTATAAGATGTTGGTCGTCTTTACTTTTTCTCTTAATCATAATCATCCTTTCTTCCAATTTCTATTTATAGTATTTTTCTTTCTTTTTTCACTCGTAAAAGAACATCTACCAACACTATAGTCACAAGATTATGTTGGTAAATCACACGGAATGAAGATTTGTGGTACAGATATGCTATATAAGCATAAAAATACCATCATTTGTTGAATTTTAATTTGTAAGAAAACTGAGCAAGAGGATTTCAAGAGTTTGAGTAAGTAGTTTACTGTTTTTTTTTACAAATACTAACCTTGGATATGTTTCTGGAAAACTAGGACTAGATAAAAACTGGAAATTTTCAGTTAAAATTATATCTTCTCGGTTTTGACAACCTGTTCCTTCTGAAATTATATGATAGAATTTTAGAAGCTACGACATGTTTCTTTGGAGTTGTCGTGTGTTTTTGAAAACACAAGCTTTACACCTACAAATTTCACTGTAAGTAGAATCCATGCTAATTGCTCTGTTGATTTTGCACTTATGATAGCAAACCTATATGTATAAATCTAAAATTTCTTCATTTAGGAATACGAATGCTCGATTAAATCTGAATAATTCTTCAGATTTATGTTTCTGTATGTGTGCAGATAACTTAAAATATCTTTAGATCGTTCTGTCTAGGGATATCGTTTCTTTCAAAATATATTTTGTTTTTTTTATATATAAAATGGATGTGCGCAGAACTATGTAACTATCAAGACCGAGAAAACGAATGTACAAATACCGTTCTTCATCGTGTTGATATATTTTATTGCACAATTAATGTATACATGTAATAACGTTATAATTAAGGTGGTACATAACACTACAGTGAGATAACTCTGTAAAAATCAGCTGAACGTTTTAATCACGTTCTATTGTTAAGGAAATATTAAGCTTCTCAATGATCAAAATTAGTGTTTGTCAAACTGCTATACATCCGATGAAATTTTTCCGATAAAGTGTGTGGTTCAAATTTTTTGAAACTTTTATATTTTTTTCAAAGGGTCAAAGTAAATATTTTGTCAAAATTTTATGAAAATTAAACGAGCCAAATTAATTTTAGTCAATGTGTTTGGTACCACCTTAAAAGAAGTTTCATATGTATATACCATAATTTTTAGCAGCTAAATAGTCTAATTTGAATCCAGATTTTACTGTAGCTGAATCTGTGTGCATCTCCACTCGTAAATAACGTTGTGATGTGGAATAATGAACAGGCGATGATGGTGCACCACACGATGAAAATAACGTGGAAGTTTGATCTTCAGCTGTAAATAGAAAGAGGTGGAATTAATTTGAATAACAAGAGAATATCATTTCGGATATTTTTCCAATATTCATTAGAATATACTTCATCCTATTATAGGGATTTTTTTCATGTAGTCTACAGTAACAGAGTTTCTTAGTCTGCCCAAAACCTTAAACTTTGCTGTGTCTTTTAAAATGTATTACCAATTTTATCGGTTTCAGTTTGTAACATCAGATCCAAAATGTTTACTGCACATGCACTCCAGTTTGTATAGCTCATTTGTTCTAATATTTTAAAAAGAAAAGTTTGGACTAACATGGTTTTTAATGTTAACTGTAATGAGTAAACGAAGAAGGACAATTATTTGACCACCATGTTTATGTGTCACCACATAGCCTTCAAATATTAAAAAAAACCTTTCACAATGCGTAACAATCTTTTAACGTCCCCAGGTCTGGACAAGATGTGAACAAATTCTACAAAACAACCAAACACATGAATGTATTACGCCCCCCCCCCCCCCCCAAAAAAAAAAAAAAAAATTAAAATAAAAAAAAAAAACTATAAATTAAAAGAGAAAGTAACAGCTTTTGACTTTGGAAAGGCATATGCACTAGCGAACTCAACATTTATTAATACAGTGTCATCTTTTATTAACAGAAAGAAATAATATGTTTTATAAAAAAAGTGGATGATCTATCGATCCAAAAGTTTGTGGATAGTTTTAAATCTAGACGACGATGTATAAATAAATAAATAATGAATGTGTCCATGTCCATGGGACACAGATGCCCCTTTGGAAATATACGGCAAAATTTTCAATTTACAAAGGGACATAACTTAAAAACAGCGAAAGAGACGCCACCCAAATTCGAACTTGATCTGTGTTTGGTGGTATTAAGCATTGTATTAAAGTTTCATAACATTTGGTGGAGGCGAACAAAGTTAGAGTGCGGAAACGGCAAATTTAGCAATTTTCCATTTATAAAGGGAAATAGCTCTAAAACGGTGTAAGAGACGCCACCCAAATTCAAACTTGATCTTAGTTTTGTAGTAATTGGCATTGTGTATACGTTTCATAACATTTGGTTGAGGCAAAGTAATGTTAAATTGCGGAAATTGCAAATTTTGTCAATTTTTCCATTCATAATAGGACATAACTCAAGAACAGTGAAAGTGATGCCACCCAAATTCAAACTTGATCTGTGTTTGGTAGTAATAAGCACTGTATATAAGTTTCATAACATTTGGTTGAGGAAAACTAAAGTTAGAAAACGGAAACTAATTTTGTGACGTACGGACAGAGGAATGGACGTACAGACGGACAAGAGTAAAACTTGATGCCCCCTCCGCCGCGGCAGGGGCATAACAATTCAGAAAACATTAATTTAGATTTTTTGTTTTCAAAATCTTCAAATACATTGAGGAATAAAGGTGAATTCATTCATTAATTCAATACATTCATCGCTTTACTTAATTTCGTTTTTTTCCTCGAAATTTTATCAAAATCTTTTAAAATTGTAAGTTTAATGTTTTTTGGGGATCTTTAAACGGTGCTGGCTGTCCAGAAATGCGACATAATGTTTCTGCAGTAATAAAGAATACATCACCATATATGAAGCGGGGATTCTTTATTTTAGGTTTGATTGAAGAACTTCTTAAAAATGGACAAAGTGTAAAATAAATTGTGGGTAAATTTGCCTTATCTACGCAATGTCATTTATTTTAAGTCATTTATTGACCTACTAATGTGCAATATATAAATGACAGTGCAATACATTTGTTGCATAATTTTTCAATTATTGCTAATAAAATGGACCGATTTTTTTTTTTTTTATCTAATTGTTATGACAAGGTTCTATCCTTGTATATTATCATAATTATACTTTTTAAGAAACAAATGACACTGTTACAGTACCGGTACATAAACATAATTTATTTGAAGCAATAAATATGGTTATTACAGTAACTTAAATATCACATGAATACCGATTGTCCAATTCTCATTGAACTTTTGTAGTTAAAATCTATACCATCATTTAAATCTTGATACAATTATAAATATGAATGTTCAAACAAACGGTTCGTACTAAAAGTCACGCTAACTTGTATTTGTCATGAAAAGAGGAATAATTTACAGGGTATATAATTGTTTTGGATTGAGTCATGCACCCTCATTTTTTTCAAATAAATTGGATTAACGACAATGGTAACATCCCCTTTGATTTCAACTTTAGCCTGTTGTTCATCTAGAACTGTTGAGGTCAGCAAAAAGCTGCCCTTCTTACAAAAGAGACAAAACTAAAGTAGACATCGACCTCATACAGTAAACTTAATAGTACACTTGATTTGTCGTATTAATGATTGTGTACATTTTTGTAAATGGCAAATAGAAGAAAAACACGAGTTTCTATCATGTAAAATTTAATTTGACCTCTCAATCATTGACAGATAAGTAAACTGTTAACAAATTCAATTTACTAATTTTCAGACCAAATCTTTGTGATTTTTTTTTTTTTTTCGCATTCGTTACATCATATATACATATATACACTTTGTCTCAAATGTAGCCTAATGGGCTTTGCTCATTGTTGAAGGCCGTACGGTGACTCATAGTTGTTAATTTCTGTGTCATTTGGTCTCTTGTGGAGAGTTTTTCATTGGCAATCATACCACATCTTCTTATTTTTATAAGAATGTTAGATATGCAAATTCGCATTAGCAAAATTTTGTTCTTCCCTCAACGGGATTCGAACCCCTGCAACTGTAACATCGTGGCACACCGCCTGCACTGTGTTCAGCTCCCTAGACAACTCGACCAACTAGGCTATATTGTAATATAGTTTTCGTTAATAGAGTAATGCCTTTCCTCGTCGGCTTAATCTAGGGTTGTAACACAGTACATGATGATATTGTGGCAAGCAGATGTTGTACCTTACAGAACAGTTATGTTTTGTCTGTCGTAAAGGATGATAATGTTACTTACCATGCCGTCACATCAAATTTAAATATATATATATATTTATTTCAATATAAGTTATATCTATCCTTTTCCCCGAATGTGACCTACCATATTAGACTTATCACCGGTTTTGTACTCATGAGCAACACGACGCGTGCCACATGTGGAGCAGAATCTGCTTACCCTTCCGGAGCACCTGATATTACCTCTGGTTTTGAGTGGGGTTTGTGTTGCTCAGTCTTTAGTTTTCTATGTTCTGTTTGTATTCTGTTGTTTGTCTTTTGGACTTTTTCTTTTTTTTTGCCATGGTGTTGTCAGTTTATTTTCGACTTATGAGTTTGACTGTTTCTTTGGTATTTTTTGCATCTCTTTTATAGTTATATAATATTACAATATATATAACTTACCATTATATAATGCTATAGTATCGCCAGGACAAGATATGTCATAGGTAAGAAATATTAATAACTGTAAATCATCAGATCCTGAATCTATAATCCACCAACAATCCATATCACTGAAATAAATTAGAAACATCTTTAAATTTTAAACAAGATAGTGAGCTATGATTGAGAATGACAGATTGTTCAAATTTACCGTGAAACATGTACTGAAGATAACCATATGTGTAGAATATTATATGTGAAAAAACCCTAGATGTATCATATACAATAGGCCCTACTGTACATGATACAACTACAGTACATTTATGCAAAGACGATATACACGATTTTACAATAAATGTATTTTTCCAGAAAAGTTTGACCTCACAAAGCAAACACCTTCATGTCACAATGTCCTATGATGCGGTTTCTCCAAATGACCACAGGTCAACTAGGACCGTTCATTCAAAAAACTGAAATTGGAAAGTCGTCTTTCACCTTCTGGTGTTTCACTAGCGCTGTGTGTCATTTCCTCGTTGTTTTGAAATGGTAAGACAGTTCTGTTGATATGTCATCTGTTTAACAGAATATATCATTTATTTTACATATACTTAGTATGTTTCAGTTTAGTAAAGTCTAGTGTTCTATAGTTAGTATTGATATTTACTTTTCGTATGTTCCAGTTCCTCCATTATATCCTGGTGACGTCAGAGATATCATTTCTATTGTGCTGGCAGTAAAATTTCGTTCAACAACACTACAGGTCTGGCCCTCAACTGAAAGATAAGATTAAACACTGATACTACTTTTTATACTTCCATTATTTGCCGGTTCCAAAAAAAAAAAATAAAGATTTTAAAATTATATAAGTTATAAGATTGGATAGTTTTCGATTAAAGAATTTCGTGCAAGATTTATTTCCCTTTTGTTCCCGTGTTGGTTTTTTAAGGAGGGAAAAAAAGGGGGGGGGGGGGGGGTTAACGTGCATAAAAGCCAAATTCAAATGACTGTTAGAATTTAGAAAAAGTAGCTTTCTGAAAACAGTTAAAATTTCTTTAAGCCTTGCATAGTTCATCACGATACGATCTAGTAAGGGTCTCTCATCAGACTTTTTTTGTAACACATGGTTATTCAAATAAGAAAAGCAACCTGTTACATCTCCAACATGGTAACTGAAATGTTATATCGAAGCCTATCTAAAGTCTATTTGCCGATTACCGGTTTGACTTTAATTACACACTTTTAACACAAGTTATTCCCCTTTGTCAGTTATTGACTGGTTCGCCACCATACAAAATGTGCTACTGTCCATGCAAATGCATAATATGTTGAAAGTAACATATATCGCATTTTAACCAACTTTTTATGAAAGATAATCATTGCTATCAAAATGTTTCACTTAAAGATTAACACAACCTAAGTATGTAGTATAACGTAGTATAACGAAATAAGAGATCTATATTTTAATTAGATTGAGATTAACAATAATTAAAGATTTGAAAAACTAAAGGAATAGACTCATAACGCATAGATAAATTTGTTCTTTCCGCGAGCTCTTCATTTTTAATGACAATGTATGGCTTCCCTAAAGGAAACAACTTGTACAAATGGATAATTAATTACATGCCTGGGTCAATTACAAAATTCAAATAGACTATCATTTTAGTAACGTTTCTCTAATATGAATTTTGTTTGAATAAGATATAAGTCAACGATTAAAAAAATCGTTTCATCAAAATGTTCTGTGCCAGCAGAGAATATCTTTGTCGTTCCACTATATTTAAGTTTCGCTGATTAAAGAGTGCAGAGGCGGATTTTGTGTAGCTTAAAATATGGTTAATTCATAGAGATTTTACATATCCCATTCCTAATTAACGTTGCATAGTTCCCCCCTTTTCTTTTCAAAATCATTGATCCGCATCTGAAGTGTAATACAGTTTAATATGTGCAGAGCATCCGTAGAGACACAAAAAGAGCTTCAATTCGGTAATTCTCCAATTTTATCAATAACTCTAAGGATATGTTCTAGCTTCAGCAATTATTTTCAAAAAAATGACATATAAAAATATGACCATTTCATATCTACAATTCTTATTTTTGGTTTTAAAATTCGAAACTAAACAAAATTTATCATTTTGTACTTCACTAAATCATAAATGAAAAATTGTTACATAAATGTACACAAGTACAGCTGAAAAGTATAACATGTCGCTCAATTCACTGCGTGTTCTTACATGTATTTGCGGTCTTCATTTTTTGGCCTAAACATATATTAGTGTATGGTTTTGAAAGAAGAAATTTCATTAGTACTGATATCCTTTATATGTTGTATAAATGTTAAACGTCATGTTTTATACAAACACGCATATATATATATATATATATATATATATATATATATATATAGTCTGAATATGTGACAACTTTGCGACAGACGTTCTCCATCTGATAACATGTGGCTATACAGGGCTAACACCATAATTTATTATTATATACTTCGTCTCAAATTTATCCCAACAATGTTAGATCTGCAAATTTGCGTTTGAAAATTTGCGTTTGAAAATTCTTGTTCTTCCCTAAGCGAGATTCGAACCCCTGCATTTGAGACATCGTGGCAACACCGCCTGCACTGTGTCAAGCGCCCTAGACCATTCGACCTCTAGCGCGCTGGACACGGTGCAGGCGGCCGTGTTGCCACGATGTCTCAGATGCAGGGGTTCAAATCCCGCTGAGGGAAGAACAAAAATTTGCTAACGCCAATTTGCATATCTAACATTGTTGGGCTAAATTTGATGTATATATATTTAAATAAAGTATAACGAATGCTAGAAAATATACAAATTCACAAAGATTTGGTCTCAAAATGGGTAAATTAAATTCGTATATATATATATATATATATATATATATATATATATATATATATATATATACTTTTTTATTAAAACAGATTCTTTTGTACTGTTTTAGATAGTGATGTCAATTATAGAAAGGAAATACATGTAGCACCATCAAAAGCGTGTAATGTATCGTCTATATCCTGATCCTGTTCGTTATAAGGTTCTAGGGTCAATGGCCTGATTCTTTTATTTACTTAAAACGTTCAGATGAATAATAATACATATTTGTTCTACTAGGTTTTAGTCAGAAAATAGCACAGTACACATTTTCATCCGGACAATCTTGGTGCTTTTATCTTAGAGTATGATTCAATAGTTGCAATACTAATATGCTTTTTTACTTTGGAAACTAAGAATTTGTACATGTCACATTTATTTTTAAATCTATTTATATCCTAATTTTCCCCCGAATTTGATGCATTAAATCATAATATATTTTGAATACGGAAATATCAAAATAAGAAGATGTGGTATGATTGCCAATGTGACAACTCTCCACCAGAAACCATATGACGTAGAAGTAAACAACTATAGATCATCGTACGGCCTTCAACAATGAACAAAAACCATACCGCAAAGTAAGCCTACATTTCCCCCACTAACACAATATAACACAACACTATCTTGCTAAAACTAAAGACATAACTTATTGTCTTACCGAAAACGATGTTCCTAAGTATGTAAGCAATAATGAACTCAGCTATTATTACTGTGTAGTCAGCAAACAATATTCTCATTCTTTAAAGCTGAAAAAAATTAAATTTGAGAATATTTTAAATGAATAATAAAATATGTTTTGCAGAAATTGTCAACTCTTTTAAACTATTAATAGGAAAGTGCGTATATGTGTATTTGGACATTTTGAAAGATTTCATAGCATAATGCCGTTCAGCATTTGTATACATTAATAATTACGTCGTGTGTATAAAAGAGTATGAAACAGGCCTAATTAAAATTGTCTTACCCTTCGTAATAAGGAAATATGTCTTATTCACATTTTTACCGTCTTCATATCATTTGATCGTTACAATCAGAATAAATAATCTAATTATGAAATACGTTCATGCCTTTTATTACCGACAAAATATTAAATGTTTTGATCCATAAATGTAGATTTTGTCAATCAAACTTCTGATAAATGTGAGAACTATTGATAACGATCATATCTAAGATCAAAATCGGCAAAACATTCTGATAGACACAATCGCCATTGTTTAATATGGTCCTCTGGGTCGCTCATTCAAACACCTGCGTGAATGAAAGCCATTAAAAGTTACCTTGTTTGTGGGACCGTATGAGGTCCATCATCTAATCTATCAAAATCAATCGGAAAACATAATCTGCACATTTGATGATTGATTGAACCTCGATGAAGAATTGCAATATAAATTAGCTTTCACACATCTCCGAAGTGTTCTAATATATTACCACATGCAATGCAGAAAACTGAATGTAATAATTGAATAGTCTGCATTCATATTCAAAATGAAGTATATTGGAAAGCAACCTGATGAAATTGGAGATTTATCTTGAAATGAGGAAAACGATCATAGGCTCCAAGTTACCAAGTCGGTATCCGGATCATTTGTTGCTGAATCAAATATTAAAACTTATACCGTTTTGTCCACTGGGAAAATTAACATACCATGGCATTTTCCCTTGTTTACTAGTTCCATCCGTATCCCATTCAAAGATTTTTAACAAGTGCAATTTGTATTTTGTTTATTCAGATTTATGGATTGGTTCTTTCCTGTGTGCAATGACATATTTAAATATGTATAAATAAAAAAAAATGTTTTTCTGTTACAAATCATGATGTATTGTTTTATGTGTATATGTCATGCTGCCCATCAAGGGCCCTTGATTGGAATAATAAATATTCTTATTCTTATTTTTATTATTTAACTTAGGAAATGTGGTATAAGAGCCAATGAGATAACCACCAGAGACGTAATCAATTATAGATAACCGTAAGGTCTTTCTCAATGAGCAAACCACATACCGTATACTAAGCTATAATAAGCATGACAACATGTAAAATATTTCAAACAAATATAAGCAACGGCCTGATTCATTCTAAAACAATAACCGAAAAACAAATACGACAGACCATTGAATTGAAAGCTGTTGACTGGGGACACATGTTTGAGAGCGCTCAGTCCTCACCCTACACTGAGATAACGATGAGTGTAACATCACAACCAAAGAACAAGCTAAACATCAGTTCGGAAGGGTTTGATTCCTCATTTCGACACGAAGCACAAAATTCAAACTAACAAAAAGACATTATACACGAAGTGCCAGTCTAAGAGTGCGGACAGTTACTGAAAGCTAGTTCAAAGCCATTTTCAATTTAAAAATAAATCATGTTTTTTCAGACTAAAGTATCAATAAATACAATACACATCCAACAGAGTTAGCGTAAATTCGTCAAAATCAGTCTGCATTAATCATGACCTTGTCCAAATATGACTATCGACAGGTTACATATATCCACATGAGCACCAATTGTGATCCCTTAATAGCAGTTCGACGCGTTCCTGTATTCTATGAATCATAGTTTATGGCCAAACTCAGTAAAGATCTATCTAAATTCCATCTAAGTGAACAATAAAATATCAATTACCGCTACCCTTGATGGTATTTTTGCTTTAGAAAGGAACATCAAAAACACCAAAAGAGTTTTTACACTCCAAAATTAGTTAATTGAACTATCAGTACCATTAACAGTGACAGGAGTTGTTCTTAATATGCAAAAAATATTTACCACTGTACCCAAAACAAACAACAATGTGCTCATTACTAAAGTTATAGTTGCTTCAACAGTGTAAAGGCAAGTCAATCGATCAGTATATTTATTGTATCAATTTGTTAATATTTATGTAAAATTTGGTTAGGATATAAACGTGATATATTTACTCTATGAGATACTTGTGTTTATGAATGAACCGAAATTGTATCATTTAATCCGGTGAAGGTCATTGACATATATTGGTGTATTCAAATTGAATGCATTTTAACATAAGAAGTACTTGTTTGAGGTTTACACAGTCGCTGAGCATTATATGTATTACTTCATTTAACACAAAATCAAATTTCAATAATCACTCATTTATAAACAAATTACCTTTGATTGAAAATTTAAAATTTGCACATGCAACTTAAAACTTCACATTCAAGCCACTTCTTTGTCGCGTTTCTAGTGGTTTAATAACTGAAGTTAATTGTGTGTGCATCCTATAATTATTCTTACAATGTTTTCTTAATATGGCGACAATTTTGCATGCCCCGTTATGATCGTTTTGTTTAGCGGAATGATAAGGATTGTTTATGTTAATATCTTGATGGTCATTCATGTATTGACCTTCAAATTATTATTTATTCTGCTCTGTTTCACTTTTTACAATACCAACTGTTATCTTTTTATCTGAATAAAGAAGGAAGTCGGGGACGTTTGAACTGACTGTTTCATATCACTGCTGCGCTGTATGTACCAAGAAGTGATTGACAAATTGTATTACTGTTTGTTACCAAGCATTAATATTCAGCTAGTTCTTCATTTCCATTCCATCAATATAAAACCAAGGAATCTAAATATACATGCGCAAGTACCAAAAGTGTTTATCCATGTGTACCTGGGATATTAGAATAAAATTAAATTCCGGTGGATATTATAATCTGATTAGCAATTTGCTTAGGAGGAAAATCTAGATTTTGAAACTTCTGGTATGAATAAAAGTAATAATTCTGTCATGAAATATCAAGAAGCTCTCAAGTAAAGCTAAGATGAAGGAAACCATTTTAAAAATAAGCTATGTTTTCCTCAATGGGATTGGCCTTCTGAGGCTATTGATTTGTCATTTCTTTTACTTTTCGATTGTTTTTCGATTGTTATTAGCTTTATTTATCGAAAGTTATACCAAGGGGAAAGTAAAACATATCGTTATAAGGCGAAGAAAAACCATGGTCAACAGAAAAAAGACAAACAGATATGCAAATAACTCTCCATAAATCACAACAGAGAAACCCAAAAGATAAAGCAACACACACCCTATTAGAAACCGCTGATAGACTCCTATACATGCTCTGGACAGATCATCAATGCCGTTGATAAGGCGAATAAATCATCAAATGCATCACAGACATTCTATGCTGTCAGTTGATTCTTACATTCTCCACATTTAATTTACATTTTTTGTTGATAGAGTATCATATGTATGTGTTGATAGTTGAAGACCGTACAGTAAGCACTTTGGATTTTTTTCTTGTCGATTGGTCGGTATTTAGTTATATTGTTTTCAGTAACAATTACATCCCATGTCCTTATTTTAAAAAAGATGCGGAAGATACCAAAGGGAAAATAAAAACTCAAAATCATGGCAAAAAAAACCCCCAAAACGACGAAAGACATTCAACAGCCCACACAACACTACATAAAATAAACCTAATGACTAAGCAACAATAAACCCACCAGAAACCGGGGGTGATATCAGGTGCTCCTGAAGATGACAACAAAATTTAAATTGAGATTCAACAGTTTTTGTTTTTAATTTAGTAGAAATGTTACAACAAGTTTATCATTCAACATGATTATATGAGAAACTTGTATCACTAGATGTATTTCATCCAAAAACAACTACGTATTTATTCGTGGACATACATCTTGAATCATTGATATTCCTATTCCATTTTGTATCATAACCATTAAAATACAACACTTTATAATCGTCACCGGTATTTTTAAGACCAAAAGCATCCGGTTAATAAAATCATGATAGTATAAGCCTTTACTTTTTGTTTAGGAATTGTCGGTTTTGATTTATTCTGTGGTTGCTACTACTTATGGCTTGTTTTTTTTATTGTTTCGCTTTTTCTTTTAATTTTTACCTCACTTTGATATTTATATGCGAGTGTGTCTTTTGTTAAAATTAAAAGTTTTTTTTCTGGTATCATTGTGTATTAATTTTGGTGTGGTAAGTGCGTGTTTATCCCGCTAATGTACGTCATGTTGTTGTAGATATGAAAACTTTTAAAACTTTAGTAATAGTACATGCAAAAAAACGGCTACAAGTTACGTTACAAGCCTGTATAATAAGCCATGTGCAAGCACGGCCACTATCTGACATATATAAATAAAAAGGTCTGGTCAATGTATATATGACTGCATTTGTTTGGTTTACAGATAATAATTTTAAATTGACAAAATTCTATGATTAGTACATTGTAACTAAGAATTCTGCTTCAACATCCTATAGATGACTCATCGAAAAGTTATATTTAGTATCATGATTTAGTTTCTGCTGAGTCGTTTATTGTGATGTGTGATCACAACGAATAGAACAAACGCTGTAAGACGACGCATATCGCTTGGTACGGAAAATTGTTCTGCAACGCAGGAAAACCCAAGAAGGCTTTGACAGGTCGTACCCGAATCTGAATTTTTAATCATTTTCTGTAGATATTTGTTCTCATATTTTGAGATTTCGCTTTTGCTTGTTGTAAGTAAAAATAATTGCCATGCGTCCAAAGCGCTTTTTGTATTAACCTTCATTGGGAACGTTCAAAACCTAAACATTTCATGGTTTTGACAAACATTAACATTTTAATTATACTGTAACTACTTATTACTTTTTTAAGTATTTTTATGATTTTGCCGGTCATATCCAAATGCATGCGTTCACTAAAGAAGAAGAAAATCATTCCATTTACAATGTTTCGAAATAGTTCTGATATAGCATTTGCTGTCCTTGTAAATCATGATTTTAACCGGAAACTCAAAATCAGGAAATTATATACTCCCTTTAAAGGAAAATCTTCAAGACTGTACAGCCATAGCATTGTTTATATTTCAAATGTGAACTGACATATAATAATTATTCACTTTTTCTGGTAGACTTCTACGTACCATTTAACATTTTAAAATTGCATCTCGTTGGTTTTTTTTTTACAAAAGTTTCAGTTTATCGGTCAATGTCAACTTAAAAGAGCAAATTAATATAAATTAGTTTCAAGTACATATATTGTGAAGACATTTATATGAAAAGGAAATAAGCAATTATATGTTAGGTAACAAATTTGACGAATTGAGGAAAAAAACTTTTTCAAATTGTTTACTTCAGGAGCAATACAGATTAACCATGTTGACATTTTGTTACAACCAAAATGTGTTCTAATTAGACAATAAATAGATTTACTATCTTACCTTAAGAATTCGAAATGACATACATCATTTTCAGTCTTCGCCTTTATGGAATGTTACACGCAATTATTTTTGTCAATATGTGATTTCATTTTTTAACAACTGTCGCTTGCAATGTTTATTATATTCGAGTCACAACAATTATTGAAAGAGGTTCCTTATAACTAAAGCAATATGAGAAACACCCGTGTCCACTTACAACGAATGTGTCATATACAAAGTCAACTTCGCCCAATGTAAGAAAATCATATTAATGCCGATTTAAAAACACAGTGTTTATATGTACTATTTTAACATTGCCTATTATCGCGACATCCTCTCCGCTAAGTAGTTAAGCTTCAATTAAGATAACAGTTTAAACGAATTTGAAACCAGACTTATTGAATGCTACCATAAATTTATCTATAACGACAAAGCCCATTACATCTTTTTTTAACAACGTCTGTGGTCTATTATAATTGCTTACAGAATACTATCAGTCGATATAATCTATTGCTTACCTTCCACAAAATCAAATATCAATTATCTCCTTGTATAGTACCCATGCTTTTGTCAGAATATATTGTTAGAGCGTATTATATACCATTAAATTTACTTCATAACACCTGGTTGGTAGGGTTATGCCTCAATGCGTACTTCAACATCACATTATTTCTACTAAATTAAATTTTCTTCCCATCTATTTCACAACTGTCATTTATACATTTGATGTCTTTATCGTTCTTTGGTTATATTTGCATAAGCGATGCACCTTTTAACTTTTTTGGCAGAATTTAGGAAAGATATATTGGATTACTAATGACTGTATCAGTGTATACCATTCTCAGTTTGATAATGGGTACTGTGACTATGATACGTACTACATGACAACCTGATAAAGCGACTTAAGTCAATAGCAGATAACTGTATAAATGAAATACAACAGAAGTTGATACGGACAGGAATTAGTCATAAAATGCAAGCACAATAGGTGGTCCAATTAACCTTTTCCTAAACGAAAAACATATGTCAATTAGGGCATGAAATGGTCAGAATAAAGCTTTCGCATTTCTCCAATAATAAATTCAGGACTGACCTAAATGCATACGGCTAGCTTTCTCCTCCAAAGGTATCATAATAAACAACAAAACACAGTTGAAAACCAATATAACATATTAAGTTAACAACAAAAATTATCCCCCAAAAAAACACGAAATAGAACAACAAAACACATAAAACAAACAAACAAACAAACACCAAAACACGACCTACAACGATCAACACCAAAACAACATTGGCGCAAGTAATCATTTACCGGAAAAGGAGGCAAAGATAACTTTTGTATAGAAGATTCCTTGTACCATTTTTCCGTTGTGTTTTGTCCTTGCTTTTACGTATGTTTGGTTAGAGGAGCCGGTTGTTGGTGGCTAGGGTTGTCTGTTGTATTGTCCAATATTTTTAGTTATTTTTGTCATACTTTTTATGTTTTGTCTCATTAAAAACTTTTGGGAAAATCAGAACAAACAAAACTCCAACAGAACAACAACAAAAAAACATTACCTCATAAGATTGATAAATGACATTAACAATTAACATCAAAACAAACCTTATCATAAATCCAACTAGAAACTTTTCTGAAAACAGTCTATTAATACAATTTTTTGAACATCAGTTAATGAAAATGTTGGTAAATATTACACTATAAATCCATCGTTTGGTTTCTTAAATCCACATCATTAGGACTTTGGCGGATAGTTGTCTTAATGGCAATCATACTGCAGTAACTTATTTTATACTGTCAGTTTATTGCATTCGTATGTACATGCAGATCGATTTGTTTTTAATTTGTCAAAGGGGTAATGAAAACGAAAGTTTTATTTTGATTTGTAACAGACAAAATTATTTCATTTTTAAGTTTTTGATATGGCCGGTTAACTGGTAAAAAATCATCAGATATACTAGGCTTAAAATTTGCTACGCCAGACGCGCGTTTCGTTCACATAAAAGACTCATCAGTGACTTGATCAAAACAGTTGGAAAGCAAAACCAACACGAAGTTGAAGAGCATACAAAACAAAAATTCCGAAAAGTTGTGCCAATTACAGCTAAAGCAATCTATTCCTGGCGGTTAAAAACCTTAGTGCTTCAAATAATTCAACATTTTATAAGCAGTAAACGGTACACACATATCACTTAATATAACAGGAATATTCAAAACGTTAACAAGTTTATCCACACATACACATTCACAAAAACGCACACAGGGGGCGCTTGAACACTAGATTAGGCTGAGTGTCTAAATTACTATTCCAACAAATATTCATAAAAGTTAACTTTCATAAGTCTATTTGAGCCTGGTCAAAGTACCAAGCGTTAACTACATATTTAAGTATAAAACAATGGTACCGAGGTTGTCAATGGAAAATAAGAACAAAATTGATAATTAAGAAAACAATGAAAAAAAAATAAATAAAAAAGCAACAACCAAAAGATTACTCATAAAAAATACCAGGATACTTGAGTAAAAGAGAGGCGAAAGATGCCAAATAGGCATTCAAATTCATAAATTGAAAAAGAGCTGACAATCCCATGGCAAATCCAGAAAACGGCATAAGACAAACATCATTATTTTATGTCTATTGGGGATAATACTGTGACGGATGAAACATCTCGTAGAACTTAAATGGTCAACGTGTTTCATGTCAGCTTAGTGTGAGTTTAATGAAAAACCAAACTATGTCTGATATCTTTTGAAATGAGCATCACTGATGAAATTTTGCCAGTAGACGAAACGTGCGTCTGGCGTATGACATTTTAATCCTGGTATTTATAATTAGTTTATTTATCATACATTCTAAAAATCTGCCTTAGACTTAAGACTGTAATTTGTGGATGATGCAATTCTTTCCAATTCTTTTTTAAAATATTTTAAAAGTATTTGGAACAAACTTTATTCATAGAAGTAAACTGACTGGTTTTTCTGTTACTGAGCATGTCACCAATATTTTGACATTTTTGTACGAAGTCAAAAACAATGAAATCTTGATATTTATGAAGTATTTTGCACCTACCAACCGTTTAATGATAAAATCAATAAGATTGTGGTTTGATTAATCCGAATACATGTCACCTCTATGTTAAGTATAAACACATTCAAGTAAAAATGTAAGCACCCTTAGATCAAGATAACTTATTTAGTTTCAGTCAGCATGACCGTCAATGAAGGTAGCGGCATTGATCTCAGCAGGGCTGGTAAAATGAATGAAACTCACCTTTTGGAAAAAGTTCATGTTTGTATATGTCTAGGAGAGTTCATTGATTAAAGCTCGTACAAATGTCAGGACTAATAGTTTTCATTCATGAAAGGTTATATATGCTTTATAAGTCTATTGACAAAAATAGATTTTGATACGAGCAAATTCAATTATTTTTTACAAATATTAATAATATTGACGCGTAAACATACACAATGATGCCCAATTCTCTCGGAAAAAGATATTTGGACATCTACATAATAATTCAACTTTTAAGTTTAAATCAAATAAGAAAAACGAAGATATGTATTTAAAACAGTATTCAACATCCATGTGATATACAATGGAAGCGATTAATTGCAGATAGCGGGAAAGTGGTCTCGAGTAAAGTCGATCATTTGCAACAACAATTTTTACTGGGGGAAATATACACCAAAAGAGAAAAAGACCATTAAATTACCAGGGACTCAACGATGAAGGGAGTAAATTCGCCGAAATTGTATCTAAGAAAATAAGAAAACCTAGTATAAATGACAACCATTAAAAACAAAGAAGTCATTATATAGAAGATAAAGAAAGTCATGCCAAGCCGATGCGAAAAGAGTATATACTGAAAACATCATACATGCATTGCCAAATAAAATGAGGAAGTCTTGTATTGAACGAACATGCCATAAATGTAGCAATTTATCAATACAGCGTATGTTGCCAACTACTAACGTCCTATTATTACAATACATAAGCGACGAACTTAGAAAAATAATTTATATACTTCTGAAAAAATGGCTGTTTAGGTTTGAACTGGATATCTAGTTATCTATATTGCAAATCTTGTAAAAGACTTTAGCAGACGCAGACGTATAATATACATGTACACTTATTTATCCGTATGCCTTAATAAAATCAAAATATATTCAGTGCGAAATGAAGAATATAAAGACGGTCGTTAATCATACAGTAAGTTAAAAGTAAAAACACCTTTGGGTGTGATTATCTGACCTTTACATTTACTTGATTGTATATTTGTCATCTGAGGCGGTATAATTTAAAACATTAAAGTATTTATAAAAGTGTGTGCATTTATAGTTACTGTTTTATACTTATTCATTAAAGAAGGTGGAGTAGTAATGGTATACTTTCCTTTCTATTTATAGACATAAAAGTGGGATAGGAACTGCAGATCGGAGGTGATTATTTAAACCAAAAAAGAGTTTCAAATTTGAGACCGAAAGGATGTGTCAATTTTAAGACGAATTTTAAATGAGGAAAAGGAAACGGTATTCAACAACTTCGTGATAAAAAATTATTTGTTACTTTAAACATAATAAGCATATGAAAGGCGTAAGGTTACTCTTATAGTACGGATGTTTGTTATAAAATAAACACCTCTCAGTGCCCCCTGTATACAGAAGTATCTCTTATGACCCACGCATCTCGTTATTCAATGGTAAGAGTATTACGGATGTTGTTGAAATGAAAAAGGAAATCCGCATTAGATTACCATAAGTATTGTTCATTCTTTAAAAATAGATTCCCGAAACATAACTCTGCCGATACCAAATCAATCTATGATTAATCGACATGTTGAACGGGGAGTACTGGTCTCCATATGCACTGGAGTCACCCTACCCCGATATTAGTGGGTATCCGCGTCCTCAATCGTTGATTTTTGGTGGAATTTTTCTTTGACTATTGTTGGGTTTTTAGTCGTCTTTTTATCTTTTGACTTTTCATCGATTTAAGATCTTCAAACACCAAATTGGTAACTTTATTCTGTACTATCAAAATGACCTTTCAATTAGATTTAAGAAAAAAACAGACCAGCATACGTGTTAAAACAGCCATTCAGTAGAAGTGGCGATGAAAAAAATATTAACAAAAATACTGAACTCCAAGGTAAAAAAACCTGACAAAATCAAACGCTCGACTATATCAATCAACGGAACGATAGGAAAACAACCGTCATGTTCCTCACTTCGTACCGAGGCATTTTCTGAAGGAAATGGTGGGTTATGATGAAGAGTTTGCAATTGAAAGTTAGATATAGATATACTTAAAAGGCAGAAGATACAATTTTCTTATCTGTGACCAGCCTGAACTACGATGGAATGGGTTGAAGT